CAGATGTTCTGCTTGGGGTTTAGGATCCCTAAACCCCAAACCCTGAACCCTAAACCCTAAACCCTAAACCTTTCTTCGAGACCGACCTTTCAACCCCGCATTGCTGTGGCTAGTCGGGTGCCAAAAAAACCCTAAACCTCCTGTAAGCTTTGTTGTCCTCGGGCCCCAGCCCTAAAACAACTCAGGCTTCCTGGTCTGGATTCTGCAAGCCAAGGGCTTAGGGCTTATAGGGCTTAGGGTTTAGGGTTTAGGGTTTAGGGTTTATAGGGTTCAAAGGGCAAAGCACATTTTCTTCCCTTTTTAAGGCATACAGGTTTGTCCTATGTGGGGTTCGGCAGTCCATGACGCGTGCCGAACCTGAGGGCATGCACTCGGAGGTCTGCTTGGAGTTTGTACCCTCAACCCTAAACCCTAAACCCTAAACCCTAAACCCTAAACCCTAAACCCTAAACCCTAAACCCTAAACCCTAAACCCTAAACCTAAACCCTATGCCGTACCCTAAACCCTAAACCCTAAACCCTAAACCCTAAACCCTAAACCCTAAACCCTAAACCCTGAGCCTCCTGGCAGAATCCGCGCCACAGCGACCGATCAGAAGAGCTTCGCCAGGCCTGGTTCCTCGTGGTGTGTCAGGGGGTTTAGGTATAGGCTTGACGAGCCGTAGCCGGGCCTCTTCCTTTGGTTTCTTTAGGGTTTAGGGTTTAGGGTTTAGGGTTTAGGGTTTAAGGGCGAGTTCTCAAAGTAATGCTGCTTGCTTTCATTCCTGGGCGAGGCTTGCAGTTGATAACCGATAACCATACTTGGATTTGCAGCAGAGTAAACCCTAAACCCTAAACCCTAACCCTAAACCCTAAACCCTAAACCCTAAACCCTAAACCACTCAATTACCGGTTTCCGGGCATGGCCCCGTTGTATGCGAGAAGATGTGACAGGCCCAGACCTACATTGCACCTACCTTACACCCTGCATTGTTTGGGGTTTGGGGTTTAGGGGTTAGGGTTTAGGGTTTAGGGTTTCGGTTTAGGGCTTCTAGGGTTTAGGGTCTTTATGCACCGTACTAAGTGTACTGGCAGGAGTTCGAGGAGATATCCTCGCGACTGGCAGTGCCGAGCTCACTTGTTCGGACTTCCTTGGAGTTTCCCGGTTCAGGGTTTAGGGCGTTTAATCAGGGTGGCGTGAGAGGGTTCCGAGTATGTAGCCCCAAAAGAAAGAGGCAATAATTTCGAGAACTGCCCAGGTTGCTCCCGTTGATGCAGGGGACCAGATGGAATGTAGAGTCATTTTGTCTGCCTGGCCGGTCGAGACCCAGTCGAAACCCTAAACCTTGAACCCCTAAAAACCCAAAGCCCTTCCAGCACTCAACTCTTGTCGGCAAACCTTTACTGCATATTCCTTACAACTTTCTTGTGTGGATACATATACATGTACACACACACACACACACATATATATATATATATACATATATGCATATGTATATATATATATATACAGACCCAAGGGATTCAGATTATCGTGTTGCTTGCGGTTCAACGAGAATGTCGTAAACCCAAGACGCTAGATCCTAAACCCTAACATGAAGATTTAGTTGTGTCTTGGGGGGGCCCTTAATCTTAACATAGAGAGGTTGTTCTGTTGGCAGTTCGGTTTTGGCGGGTAGCTAGCAGTCAATTGGAGGCTTCAGCTGTTGTTTAGGCAGTATAGGGTTCAGGGTTTGTGGTGGAGGGTTGAGCGCGTTCTGGCGCTTTGCGTGTGCAGCGCCCTGCCATGTGCCATGTGGCATGGCCCCATGGCTGTAGGCATGTAGGTTTCTTCTTCACCACCGACAACTTCAGAAACCACCACAATTAGTAACCTAAGCTAGCCGAAACCCTAAACCCTATAGCCCTAAACCCACTGACCCTAAACCCTAGAAACCCGAAAACCCCAAGCGCGGCATTAGATTTCGAATCCCTGAGGATACGGAGCCTCATCTCAACCTTAAACCTTGCACCTGAAACACTAAACATCAGAAGCTGCTTCATGTTAGTTATACTGAGGCCGTGCCTTTGCGGGACGATGGGAGCTACGATCGGGACTGCTCGTGCATGGGTTGCAGCACTGCGTTGCGTTCTGCTGCGGCATACGTGAGTTGAAGGATGAAGAAAGTGTCCAGATTTTCTGAGAGCGTAGCCCTAAACCCCAAATCCTAAACCCTAAACCCTAGGTTAGGAAGTGGGATCTTTGGGCTTGGGGGGTTTTGTTTAGGATTTCCCCTCGTAGGCTGCGTAGGCTACTAGTTTACATGTGGACCTGGGGTGTCTCTTGGGTCCCAAACCCTAAACCCTAAACCCTAAACCCTAAACCCTAAACCCTAAACCCTAAACCCTAAACCCTAAACCCTAAACCCTGTTGAAATCTGCCATGCTTCCATTCCTAGCAGCAACTTTGCTAAGGGAACCGGCTGAATATGGCCTTACGAAGGAGCCATGCAAGCAACATGAGCCAGGCTTGCAATTGCTACATGGATGGATGTGTAGGACAGCGGAAACAGGCAATCTCAAGCGTATTGCACGTGTTTGCCGTCCATGAGCACATCCTTACATTGCAATTATAGGCATCATGCAAGATGGCACGGGCGTGCGGCCATGGATCGTGGAGGTACCGACAGCCCCCGGACAGTTGATCGTCAGCCAAGCCAGCAGTGTCCCTGCCTTCCTGCAGATCGACAGTGACGACGCAGAAGCAGAGGAGGCGCCAACTTCTCCTCGGCCTGTTGTGCTGCCCGAGGAGCCTGAGGAGTCCGAGGAGAAGGGCACCTGGAAGGACGGACGCATCGAGCGAACGAGGCTTCTAAACTTTGGAAAAAAGCACGGCGAGACAGCTTCTCCGGCGAATGCACAGCCCGAGCATGCTCCGCATCCTGCTGGCCAGGTTGGCAGGCAGAGTTTGGCGTCTGCTTCGGATTTCCCGTCCAACACCCGGGCGGAGGCTGGCCAGGCTGCAGCGTGCTCCGGGAAGAGTCACAATAAGATGCACCGTGCGAGCCCAGTTGGCAACTTAGCTATCCCCGGCCGAGCGGCCGAGCCAGACTGGTACGAAGCAGAAGTTGCTCCCCAAGATTGTTACGCTCTTGGGAGTCGGGGATGCCCGCCCCTGCCAAGTTGGCAGGACGAGACTGGTCGTGTTGAGTCGCTGCCTGGTGAGGGTGGGCAAGAGAATGACGCCACCCGGTGCCTCGGCTCAATCCGCTGCGGCTTCATGGACGGTGCTGAGTGCAGGCCTTGCTGCTTTAACATCAAGGCGTCGGGCTGCCGACGGGGAGCAGACTGCACTTTTTGTCACGTGCACATGCCAGCGCAGAACCCTTCCCAACAACAGCGGAAGAAGGGCAAGGTGCGTCAAGTCGGAGAAGTGCCCTTGCTGGTCGTTGGCAAGCGCGGCCAAAAGCCAAAGGAGCCTGGCCGTGTTCACTGAAGCATATTGAAGCGTTCAACCGCTTCCGCTGATGGTTTTGTTCCCGTGCTCAGGCCAGGGGCATAAAACAGGTGGGTATACAAACCTGTTTAGCTTTTTGGTCCTTCCGGAGTGCCCCCCTTCTGGTGGACAATGGGCGATGGTGAGTACTGTGCTGGACCCCAAACGGAGACTCCAACGTGTGCACCTGGGAGCAGATTTACTGGGCTTTGGAGTACTATACTTTAATACTTCTTTTGGTTTTGGGTTCCCATTATAGCTACTTATACCTAAAAGTATATACTTTTTTTTTCTGGGTCTACTCCAGAGGTAGGTTTACGAGGGTTACTACTGAAAAGTTACGCTGCGAATTGGGAATCCGGAGTCCCGAGGCTTCTTGAACCGATGCGCGTGTGGACGTGAAAAAAAAACACGTGCACTAGGGTTTGGGATCGCCTGACCAGGATGGGCTATGAGGCCGTAGAATCCCGTTTAGGGTTTAGGGTTTAGGGTTTAGGGTTTAGGGTTTAGGGTTTAGGGTTTAGGGTTTAGGGTTTAGGGTTTAGGGTTTAGGGTTTAGGGTTTAGGTAATGAACCCTACAAAGGGCCATTTACAGGGAATTATAGGGTATGATCGCCCATCCTGGTAGTTAGCATGAGCCCAGAGCTGGTTTCTGGACGGGGAACCAGGGCCAGAGATGGTTCCAGCATGTTTCTAAACATGGTATCTGCGCCGTTCTATCTGCAACTCACCAATCCCGGGGCACATGTGCCCGCCCAAGCTACTGAGGGTTTGTAGATGCATTGAAGCTCTGGTGCTGTTTCAAGCTTGCTTCGGTTACGAGTTCTTTGGAAACCATGACGTGGGCGCTAGCCCATGACTCCTGTCACCTGCCCCTAAACCCCATAAACCCTAAACCCCTAAGCCCTACCTCCTGCAAATGTGGGCCCATTGCCCGTATCATGCTTTGCCTTTCTTAGCCAGGCTGGTTTTTGGCACCCCAGTAGCTGCAGGAAAGGCTTCACTTGGGTGATTTCATCTCGTTGGCAGGACTGCTTTGGACTCTCGTTAGTGGTTAGCTGAGGTTGTGTGGCTGAGGTGATGGATGTATACTGTATACCGTTTAGAGTCCGCTTGCTCGGAAGTTCATTTGACCTTGAGGGTGTTCGAAGTATATTCTGGAGTCAGACTACCCGGAGCCTTGCCCGCTCGTGCGCCCGTGTGAGGGTCGAAACTTGGGATGTTCCCCCTTATACTACGCAACTGTACCCTAAACCCTAAACCCTAAACCCTAAACCCTTGATCCCAATTAATCAAGGACTGTTCGTATAAGGGATAGCATCCCAAGTCGAAACCCGAAACACTAAACCCTTGATCGACCTGCTCTGGACAGAGCCACCATGCGACCGCCGAGACTGCCTCAAACTGCCAAACAGACATAGATAGAGGCTTTGCAGGACAGGGTCTGCTTGGGTCTACAGTTTAGGGTCTAGGTGTTACAGGGCTTTAGCATATGTGCGCTTTATAGGGTTTTGGGATTTACGTAAGGATTATCGGCATCTCATGACGGCCATGGCGTCCGAGATCGGGCTGTCAACCCGGTTGTGGCAGTGGCTCTTGTTCTCCCCAGGGCCCTTCTACTTCTATCCCTGGAAGTCCATAGCGAACCACATCGCTGGGGACTCCTACGCCCCTCGGATGAGTCCTTGAGTTCGGATCACCGACCTTTGTCTTAATGTGCAAGAAGGGATGCCTCAAGTATTCTGACAAGATGATTGCCTCGGAGTTGAGGGTTTAGGGTTTGGGGTTTTGGATGTTGGGTACATTGCATGGGACCCTATCATGCCTTTCAGTGTTTTGTAGGATGGGCTTTCAGGTCGCTGGTGCATGGGCGGAATCTGCTGAGCATCCCGAAGCCGCAAAATGACTAAGCCCCCAAAACGCCCTAAACCGGTAAATTCCACACCCGAAAGTGCAGGGTTAAGGAATTTAGGATGTAGGGTTTAGGGTTTAGGGCTTCAAAGCCATGGAGCTTAAACCACTACAGGTTCATTTCTCCCCCCCCACCCCCGGCCCCAGGCCATTGGCTACCGACATTTTGTGGCGGGGCATTACGGGCGCATCAACCTGGCCCTTCACTGCGTGGCGCTCTTCATCCAAACGTTTGGTAATTTCAGGTTGCTGGAGCCTTGGCAGCAACTTGGGTTTAGGGTTTCACTAGGATGTATGCTGCCATGGTTCCGTAGAAACAATCATGACCCCGAAACACTACGGAGGAACGATGCATGTGTGTGTGGTCCCTTATTGGGTTCAAGAGGATTATGTTTTTGTTTGTCAAAGTGTTTCATAGCCCGATTCAGGAACACCTGGACAGGCTGCTTTTCTCCAAGGCAGCTTGCCTAACTTGGAGAAATGTTGAGCTGTTTGGCTTCGCTTGCTGATTTTCTGGGAGTAATAGACCTCAGCCTTTCCATGCTTCCTGGCTGCTAACTTTACCCCAGAACTACCCCCGAAATCTTGCTAAATATCCCTAAACAGCCCTAAATTCTCATCTTGTTCTGCCCTGCAAAAATCTTCAAAGCCGAGGTTGGGGTCCTAAGCTTTGGGTCTGTGGTGGCCTGGGTGGCCAGCCTTGCCTCGTCACCCGCACCCGCCCTCGCGCGGCTGGCCAGCTGCGGCTCCCTCTGCTTCGCCTTCCAGCTCCTTATGCACTAAACCGACTGAACAACTCTACACCCTAACCCTAAACCCAAACCCTAGACCCAGGTAGGCTTGTCGAAAAACTGCTACACTCCCTCGTTTGGTTTCAGAGGGCTACTAATCTCCTTCTGGGGTTTAAGAGAGTCCTATTTCAGAAAGCCAGGCGGTTTTGTGGGGGCCAACCAAGAAAAGCCACCAAAGGGTGCTGCCTTCGAGTACATATATGTGCTTTGGTCTAGGGATTAGGGTTTAGGATTTAGGTTTTAGGGTTTAGGGTTCACGAAACCCTACACACCCCAAACCCTCTGCTTCAGTATTGCTTAGAGCAGCATGGGGAGAAAAAAAGTCGGTTCCCTTGTCCGCCCCTTTAAACCAAAAAAAGCGCACCCTTTTTACTCCTAAGTTACCCCTAACCCCTAACCCCTAACCCCTAACCCTAAACCCTAAACCCTAAACCCTAAACCCTAAACCCCCTGAGTCACCAAGGTTGGCGCCCTACGCCACGGTGGAGAGCTTCGAGCTGGCGACGCCTGGGGCCATGGCTCTGGTTCTGCCCCTTGCGGCGTTTTGGGGTTTGGGGTTTAGGGTTGAGGGTTTAGGGTTCAGGGCTACCTTGAGCTAATCATGCAGCTTATGATTAGTGAGCTCATGGGCCCTGTGAATTTGTAGGCCCCAAACCCTCAACCCTAAACCCTAAACCCTAAACCCTGAACCTACACTAGGGGTTCATGTCAAGGACCTGGGCACAGGCCACCGCGAAGCGCCCCATCAGCAACCGGGCCTATGCCAAGGGACTCGTGCTCATGGCTGGCTGGTATGCAGGCTGGGGGTTAGAGTTCAGGGTTTAGGGTCTAGGGTCTAGGGTTTAGGGTTTAGGGTTCAGGGCTAGGGTTTGGGGTTTAGGGTTTAGGGCTCAGGGTTCAGGCTGGACGCTCCTTCGCCGGATGTGCGGGAAGAGGCTAGAGGACCAGAAGGTCCGCATCCGCTGTGCGGTGATTAGCTTCCTCAGCTTCCTAGCGATGCAGAAGAACCCAGTGACACCCGTGGCTAGGTAGGCGCCTGGGATGTGTTATACTTTCCGTTCTCCCTGAGAAAACCCTAAGCCCTAAACCCTAAGTCTTGGGTTCACCAAGATCATCTGCAATAGCCCTAAACCCTAAACCCTAAACCCCAAACCCTAAACCCTAAACCCTAAACCGCCTCCGAGGTCGTGGTTCTTGGCTCACTTCTGTGTCGTTTGGCTTCCATCCTCACCGATGACCCGGTTCTCTACTACCTCGGCTGCTGGGTTTAGGGTTTAGGGTTTAGGGTTTAGGGTTTAGGGTTTAGGGTTTAGGGTTTAGGGTTTAGGGTTTAGGGTTTAGGGTTTAGGGTTTAGGGTTTGGGGTGCTCTTTTCATTGATGCTTTGGGTGCAGGTCTCAGATCTGCTGAGACAGCAGCAGCCGCTTCCTTCTTGATTGCAAGCACGAAGACTCCTACACACAAGAGCCCTATAACCTCACTTCCACAAATGTATGGCAGGTATTTTCCTACATTGACTTACTTTGCCAACAGAACTCTAATTTTCTTGGGTAGTAATTTAGCAAGAATATTACAATTTGAGCTGTTTGTTCCTTGGTTATTGGAGAACTACCATGTGAGTAAGGAACCCACCCCAGAAGATGAAACATATTCTTCCTTATAAGGGTAATATGCGGGTTATCATCTTTCATACTTCTTGGGTTCTTAAGCAAATCGTGGAGAAGTAAGTTTAAATTGAAGAGACCCTAAACCCTAAACCCTAAGTTTTACTGTCTCCGAGGTTTCGCCTTCACGGGGTCCCTCTTCCAGGGCATCGCCCACAACCTCACGGCCGAGGAGGCCACACTGAAGGCCCTGGAGCGCCAAGGTGCCACCCGAAACCCTAAACCCTAAACCCTAGGGCCCTAACGCCTAAACCCTGCATCTGGGGGTTCCCTTAATTTGGTTCTCTTGGATGGGCAGCTTCTCTAGCATAGGCCCTCATGGCTAGCGCACCCCGAGATGATTTAGAGTACTGACCACTTAGGGCTCTCAGAATTTTCAGGGCTTCTGGGATTCTTCTATGGCACACGTCTTCGGAGGGGGAGGTACTGCAGTCATCTCTTAGATCAGGCTCGCCCCATTGTTTGGGGGGGCGCATGCTCTTGGAACAGGAGCCCTATAAGCTGGTTTTTCCCTTCTGGGAGCATGCATGTTTTCTTTGTTTTTGAGGGTTTAGGGTTTAGGGTTTAGGGTTTAGGGTTTAGGGTTCTTGTCCGTGGTTGTTGTGGTATGAGGAGGCTACGAATAGCCCAAAGCAGGCCCACAGTCGCTATATTTTGTGCGCCTGCAGCCCTGGGCTTCTTCAGTTTCTTGATCCCTTTTTGGTTTAGGGTTTTTGGGTTTAGGTTTAGGGTTTGGCATTTCATCGCTTTTGTTCTTCCGTTCTCTCAAACACTGATGCCTGCCCTATATTTTCCCGGATTGCGCAGCTATGCTTCGATTTGGGGGGCACTTTGGGGCCGTAGGGTTTAAGGCCTAAACTCTAAACCCTGGACCCAAAACCCTAAACCTTAGGCACCCTGGTGCCCCCCTGGTCTGAGGTGAGCAGGCAAAGTTGCGGTACGAATGGGCGCACGTCACCTTCTTTCCAGCTCTCCTGTTCCACGCCGTGCCGCGGGCGTGTTTTGAGAAAGCTTAAACCCTAACCCTCAACCCTTAAACCCCTGAACCCCTAAACCCTAAAGCCTACACCCTACACCTAAACCCCTAACCCTAACCCCTTAAGCCCCTGAAAACCCTTAACCTGAAACCCTGATCTTGGAGTGAGGTCTTCTTTTCAGGACTTCTACCAGAGACTTTAATTGCGAGCAGCCTTTGAAGCCTAAGGGATGGAGATGTGAACCTAAGCCTCAAAAACGCGCAGAGCCGATTAGGGTTTAGGGATTATACTCTAGAGTTTATAGTTTAGAGTGTATAGTCTGGTTTACAGATTATAGTTTGGTTTGTAGTTTATAGTTCATAGTTCTTAATTTCTAGTTTATGGCATATAGTTTGTTGTTTACAGTTTATAGGGTTTAGGGCTTCAAGGTTTAGGGATTGTAGGGTTCGCGGTTGAGGGTTCAGGGTTGATTGGGTTGATAGGGTTTACAGGGTTTATAGGGTTTGTAGGGTTTCGGGTATACGCCTGAAAGCAATACAGCTCCTCAACAAACCCCCTGCGACCCTCAGCCACCTTCAAAGTTTTTGAGCCTCGGGGTTTAGGGTTTCGGGTTTAGAGCCTCAAAAAGCGAACCTAACGCCTCTCAAACCCCCCAAACCCTGACTCCCCCGAAACCCCTCAACCCCAAACCCCCAAATCCCCAAACCCAAGACAACCTCAACCCCAAGCCCACAAAACCTTAAAACCCTAACCCCCTAAACCCCAAAGCCCTAAACCCTAAACCCCAAACCCACAAACCAACCCCCTAAACCATAAACCCCCTAAGCCCCCGAAACCCCAAGGCCCTAAAGCCTCAAGACTTGTCAGGGTTTAGAGTTTAGGGTTTAGGGTTTAGGGTTTAGGGTTTAGGGTTTAGGGTGAGCTCAGGTGCAAGAGGCAGCCACTCGAAGTTGGAAGGCTTAGTGTCGGCGTGCTCGGGCAGCTTAGGGTTTAGGGTTTAGGCTTTAGGGTTTAGGGTTTAGGGTTTGGGGTTTAGGGTTTAGGGTTTAAGGTGAGCTCTCTTTAGTCTAAGGTCTACTTAATAGCTAGACATGGTTGGATCTAAGCTGATGATGCGTCACTGCCGCGCTTTGAGAAAAGAGCGCACGGTCGGACACTGTTTTGGCATCGGTTTAGGGGGTTCAGGGGTGGGGGGCGGCGAGGCGGCGGGGTATGTAGCCCAAGGTTCCCGAGTACTCCCTACTACTACCCCAAGAAGCTTCCCCAGGTACCTGCCCCCCATGACCCCCCGGGCTTGGGAGAAGTATTGGCAGAAGACGTATGTGCCGAAGATGATTGACCGCATGTTCACTTTATGCTCTCCCTAAGCCCTAAACACAGAAGCACAAACTCCCGGACTTGACTGACACAGTTGCTTGCCCCGTCCTAGCCCGGCTGGGTTTCAGGAAGTTCTGTCCCCTGTTGTGAGTAGAGTTGCAAGGGCCAATTCGGTTTCGAGCATTCGAACTTGAGCTACAAAGTCCTGTACTTATGCTTAGTATGTTGGGGGCCCTCCACGTGCATGTACACTGAAACCTATAACCTTAGGACCCAGAGTAGGCCCTTATTTCCAGGGTGAAAGGGCACCCTTCTATTCCTACGTGCCTAAACCCTAAGCCCTAAACCCTAAATTCTAAACCCCAAACCCTAACCGTAAACCCCAAACCCCAAACCCTAAACCCTAAACGCGCGGAAATCTGCGGTGCAGGACCTTGACGGCGGCACAGTGGAGCAGTGCCTGGATCGGCTGCAGGCTCGAAAAGCGCTTAAGGGGATCCGTGTATGTTTCTTTTGAGGATCTGGGGTTTGAAGATCTGGGGTTTAGGGTTTAGGGTTTAGGGTTTAGGGTTTAGGGTTTAGGGTTTAGGGTTTAGGGTTTAGGGTTTAGGAACCCACTTGAAATCCTGAACCCTGAACCCTACAAACCCGACGCTGCAGCTCTGGGGGGGAACCCTAAACCCTAAACCCTAAACCCTAAACCCTAAACCCTAAACCGGGAGGGGGAGTGTTTAGAAGCCGAGAAGCCCGCGGCTCGGTGTTGTCGCCTCGAAAGCTCGGGAAGCGTCGCGTGCTCGGATCTTGGGATTTACCTTTAGGGATTTGGGGGCTTAAGTTTCGTTTCGGGATTTTAGGGGCTTAAGGGGTCTTCTTAAGCGTTTTAGGGCTTAGGGTTATACTCGGAAACCTTGACACTCTTAGATGCCAGGCTTCCCAGGGCCCAAGGAGAAGAAACGGCTTACAGGGCCGTTGCTAGGGGAGCGCTCCCCTTCGAAGCCATGGCCCACGGCAACTTGTCTGACTTAGGGTTTAGGGTTTAGGGTTTAGGGTTTAGGGTTTAGGGTTTAGGGTTTAGGGTTTAGAGTTTAGGGTTTAGGGTTTAGGGTTCATCCCAGGCAACTTGTCTGACTTCATCTTTCTGGCCCTGCTGGGGGTCACTGTGCAGTGGCTGGCCTACCCGGGGACCCTCTTCGAAGATGTGGGCCCTTTGAAGGCCTTGCAACGCCAAAACCCGCCTAGACCCTCAAAACTTAAGAGCCCTAAACCCTAAACCCTAAACCCTAAACCCTAAACCCTAAACCCCTAGGCGTTAAGAACCCCCCCAGCCCTCAACTCTCACCAGGCATACCTTATGGTTATATGCATCCTCTTAGGGAGCACCCAGGGGACCAAATGAATCCTATGATAGGGGTCGTGTACCCTATACTACCCTCAACCCTAGAAACCCTATAATAGGAGTCGTATTGGGGTTTCGGAAATTAGGGGTACCTTGTTGGGGTCTTCACTATAAGGGAATCCTACCCCTTATTTTCGTAAACCCCCATATACGTACGGTCGAGTACCCTAAACCCTAAACCGGGCACCCCATGTAGGCCCTGTGCAGCCTCCTGAGGCACAGTTCAAGTCAGCGAGTCCGGACATGACTGCCCTCATCAAGTTGGGTGGGGGCCTGCTCCTCGATGTCTGTCTTGGGGTTTAGGGTTTAGGGCTAGGTTTTAGAGTTTAGAGTTTTGGGTTTTGGGTTTCGGGTTTAGGGTTTGTCACCTTTTCCCCCCCCCCCCTCTCTCTCTCTCTGTCTCTGTCTCTGTTTGAGAAAGTGTTATTCATTTACTACATTTGTACTCCCGAACATTCGAAAGACACAACGTATACCCTCTTCCCTTCAAGTATTGGCACTTAAAAATAGAGACCTTGTCGCCAGTATACAGCGGCAGAATATCACGGCACCCCCTCCAAGCCCTGGACCCTGAACCCGAAACCCCTAAACCCTGCCCTAAACCCTAAACCCCAAACCCTAAACCCTAAACCCTAAACCCTAAACACCTCCGCGCAGCGGAGGCTCCTGTTCCTCGGCATGATCTTCTCGGGGGTGAGTTGGAACCCAGCCACGAAGCTGATAGAGAGCTTTGTTTTTACTATTTGTTGTTCTTGTGCTCTTTCCTCTTTTTGTTTTGTTTTTGGGGGGACTATTTGTTGTTCCTATTATCTCTCTTTTTTTTTGGGGGGGGGGGGGGGGGGGTGGTTAGGTTTGGGTTTTTTGCGCCTGCTGCAGAGTGACTCAGGGTTTCAGGCATACTGGGCTTAGGCTGCTCTCTCTGGTGTCGGCAGTTGGGGTTCCAGCTTTGGGGACAGGGTCTTGAGAGGTTCTTTGGCTCCCGAACCCTAAACCCTAAGCCCTAAGCCTTATAAGCCTCAAGCCCTATAAGCACCCGAAACCCCTAAACCTTAAGACCCATGAAGTAAAGAGAAAGTTACATCGGAAGCTGAGTCTCCCTAAACCCTAAACCTTAATTATAAACCCTAAACCCTAAACCCTAAACCCTAAACCCTAAACTGAGGGTTTTCAACTCTAGGCTTCTCCTCATCATCTAGACCCAGGCCCCCTTGGAACCGCTAGAGAATTGTCGTTTGGGATGTTCAGGGTTTAGGGTTTAGGGTTTAGGGTTTAGGGTTTAGGGTCCCTTCTACTAACAGTCCTTAGTAGGGGTTTTTATAGGGGCTACTATAATCCCTATTATGCGGGGAACGTCCCAAGCGCTACATAATTATGGAAACTCGGTGCAGGGTTTACGGCTCAGGCCGAGCAAGGGCCTGCGTTTCGGGATTACATATAGTGAAAACACGAAAAACCGCGTTTCCTGGTTTTGTTTTGCTCCCGCTTTTCGCATTTATTTATGACCTTTGTGAGGGTGCTCTTTGCTACATAAGCCTCTTTTAAAGGAGTGCTGTCACTGTACCCCAGCTAGCCCCTTCGAAGCAAACAGGCCCCCGATTTTGGACGGCCACTTTACGTTCGAGTCTTTGTAGGGCACATTCAAGGGGCGCGATTTTGACGCATGACAAAGCTTTTGCCCCTAAACCCTGGGACCCTAATTTTGGACCCGGTTTTCAGAGGCCCCCCTTGCATTGATGAGGGTTGCCCGCAATCATGCGAAGTTCGCGGCCCGGGGATGAAGGACGGGGGGCCGGGGAGCCCAAAACTCAAAATAGTTTTGAGTGAGAAGCTCGGAATTTTCTGGTGCCCGGCTTGATTAACATTCCATTCTAAATTTCTTTACGAAACAAGCATCCCAACATTTTTCTAAGGGAGTAGCCCACGAGCTGCCGTAATTCGCTTTAGTCAATTGTTTCGGTTACCCGCATTAGTCCGCAGCCCCCCTGGCCAGGGAGCTACAAAGCCTCGAAAGCTTAGACCCTCAAGCTTCAAGGCTTCCCCTCAACCCTCGACCCCTACCCGCCTCACCCCCAGACCCCACCCACCTTATAGAGGATCCGCGAAAACACTATAATTGCTTGGGGGGGAGGGGGGGGCGGGTGGTGGCCTATACGAAACCGGGTCCCACATTAAACCATTCGGCCTGGGTTGTGTTGCAAGAAGACAGGGCATGGGAGACTGTGTTCTCACAACGCCGCACACCTGAGGTGAACGGAAAGATGGCAGGCTTCGGGGCCTTCATCACCATGGGCTACTCCGTCTACAGCGCCTTTAAGGCGGATGGCGATGTCTTCATCCCGCGCCCGCTCTATGCGTATGCAGGCGTGGTCCTCCTCGGTGCGTTGCACATCTTCGCGTTTCCCTCCAACCCCCTCCCGGAGAAGACGACCGAGGTCAAGAACAACCATGGCAACTTCTCAGACCTCGCCGCCCTTAGCTTGCTTGGGGTGGCCTTGTCCTGGTACTTCTACCCGGAGCATCTCTTTCAAGATTCTTGGCAGCCCAGTGGTACCCTTTACCCTTTTTGTTGGTTATGGGTTCCCTTATCAAGTAACCAACCCAAAAAGGGATGTCCTTATTACAATATGGGGCCCTAAACCCTAAACCCTAAACCCTAAACCCTAAACCCTAAACCCTAAACCCTAAACCCTAAACCCTAAACCCTGAACCCCCTTTTTGTTGGTTAAAAAAAGGGTGCCCTTATTATAAGATGGTCACCTGGGCTACCAAGGATTTGGGCCCCTTGAAGGCCCAGTTCAGCAGCAAGTCCCCTGATCTGACCACGCTGATGAACTTCGTCGCCGGGCTCATGGTCATCATTGCCCTGATGCTATCCGGCGTGAAGTGGTGCCCTCGCCAGCAAACCCTTGAAAGTGTTAAGGGTTTAGGGTTTAGGGTTTGCTGTGATAGGGCGTAGATGCTGTGAAGGTTAGGCTTTGGAACAAGCTCGAAAGCTTGTGAGGCGCGAAGAGCAGATTTGGCCTGGCCATCTCACACTTTTCTCCCACCCCACGCTGCCCGAGGCGGCAAAGCCACCCAAACCTATTCCTTTTAGGGTTTAGGCCTAAACTCAAGCCAACTGCTTACTTTCCATAAAACTTCTTCATTCCGTCACGGCCCAGCCCAGAAGGGCCCAAGGGGGCCCAGGGGGGCTCCGCTCCAGTACCATACCCATCGTGGGTGCTACCGAACCTCCGAGCTGTGGGAGGCGGGCGAACGAGCTGGGTCGACTTGCGCCATCGAGGTCGAGGGGCTGAGGTGCCGCTCCCCAACGGGCGGCCTAGGCTTTGAGTTTAGGGGAAATTCCCCTATAGTTCCCTATTAAGAGGAAGACGGGTCATTGCAACTGTGGACCACAATCTCGGGGTGAGCTTTAGGGTTCAGGGTTTACGATTTAGGGTTTGGGGTTATTCGTTTAAACATACATGTTCTTCTTATGCCTTGTACAGTAGCACGGTAGCAATAACAGTGGCACTACCTTCAGCAGGGTGGTGCTGTGTGTTCTTTTTGCTTGCTTGTTTCTGGCGGCAGGTTTAGGATGCTTGGATGCAACTCCAATACCCTAAGCCCTAACCTTGAGCCATTTAAGCCCTAAACTCCCCCAACCTAACGGGTTTTTGGCACGCCTGGGTCCTAGGTTGAGGGCTGCTAGCTAAGTATGGCGGGCATGGTTGGCTACTAAATACGGGGAGCAAAAACATGAAACCCTAAACGGCCCTAAACCCCAAACCCTAAATTAAAAAGTAGGCCGTAAACATGGGGATCCTAAACCCGGAACCCCTAAAAAAGAGCGAGCCGCAAAAAAACATAAGCCCTAAACCCCAAAACCCTAAACCACCTTTAGACCCCAAAACCTGCGAAACGCACCGCCCCCAATCCCGAAACTCCAAGCCCCAAACCCCAAACCCCAACCCCAAACCCTAAACCTTAAACCCCCCAAACCCTCAACCCCCCCCCGTTTCTTTTGGCCGCCAGGAACCCCATCAACGGCAAGATGGGCGGGTTTGGTGGCTTCCTGGCCGCTGGCTACACGGCTTACAGCACCTATGCAGCGGACAAGGCCACATGCTTGGGGTTTAGGGTTTAGGGTTTGGGGTTAGGGGTTGTCGGGTTTCGGGTTTCGGGCTTGGGGTTCAGGGTTTAGGGTTTAGGATTTGGGGTTTAGGGTTTACAGTTCAGGTGAATGCGTCAGCCCCTAGCATGTTTACAATCATCTGGAAACGCAGACAGTGGCGCTGGAACGCTGGGGTGACAATAGTTCTACAGTATCAAATCTCTCCAAAACCCTTATTGAACCCGAACCTCACCAGGGCACAATCCCTGAGACTCCAATACTCTACGGGTTCGATTTGTGGTTGTTTTGTTTGCCAGAATGCCTTACTATGAATCGGCCGGGGAAATCCTTCGAAGTAGTTGATCAAAAAATGCCTGTTCCCCCATGTTTCCTTTTGCCCATAAAAGTCCTGCAGAAACTCCCAAAGGACGAAAGGCCTAAACCCTATAAACCCATGTGTTAGGGCTTGGGCCTCCTGGAAACGCCCCCTGACAGGAGGTATTCGTCCCCCGCTTGTTCTACGCCTACTCCCTGGTGATCTTTCTCGGGGCGCTGCACATCTTTGCCTTTCCCTCCAACCCGCTGATCAAAAAGAAGAAGGATGGCAAGAAAGAATGAGGCATGCGCAGGATCGCCACAATTTTGAGAGCAGCTCTGGGAAAGCCTGTGGAGGTTAAGTATGTCTATAGCCCACTAAGGAATTAGTTCTATAATTTATTCATATAATGTGTATTCAAAAAAACTCAAGGGAATATGCAACGTATGTATGTTTATTAAGGCTCTAAGGGGAGTGTGGTCTAGGTCTAGGTGCTTGACCTGCAGCCTGCGCTGGGTACGCTAGGGTGGCGAGGCACAGGGGCCCCCCCTGGCTCCACGCGCGGGGCGCATGCCATACTGCAGTTTCCTGGCATGCGTGAGGCTGAGAATCTACTACTTGCTTAAGAACCTCCCCCAAAAAATATAGTAATCCTTATAGTACCCTTATAAGGAAGAAAATGTTGGTGTTTTGGGGGATTCTTAAGCATTGGGTAGTAATGAGGATCTTTGCATGAGCTCAACAAAGACCTTCCCATGATGGCAGCGCGTGGGAATGCAAGAAAAAGTTGACACCCCCAAACCCCAAACCCTAAACCCTAAACCCCAATTGCTGCAGGATGCATGGTTTTGCTAGCCCAGAGGTTTCAAGTGCCTTCAGCCAGCCTTCACGGGAAGCTCATAGAACCCACAACCGATTCACGCAACATTGGCCTGAAACTTCGTTTTCTGAGATCCTACACCCTCAAAGCTCCTCCAACCCTAACCCTCAACCTTCAACCCTACCACATAAAACCAAAACCCCTAAAGCCTTGAACCCTAAACCCCTTAACACCGAACCCCTAAACCCCAATCCCTAAACCCTAATCCCTAATCCCTAAACCCTAAACCCTAAACCCTAAACCCTAAACCCTAAACCCTAAACCCTAAACCCTAAACCCTAAACCCTAAACCCTAAACCATAAACCCTAAACCCTAAACCCTAAACCCTAAACCCTAAACCGAACCCTTCAGGGCTGCGGACCGCGGGGCTTCGAGCTGCTCCGCGCCATTCCTGCGGAGGTGGCACTGCCCCCGAAGCTGCCCTTTGCGTAGGGTTTAGGGTTTAGGGTTTAGGGTTTAGGGTTTAGGGTTTAGGGTTTAGGGTTTAGGGTTTAGGGTTTAGGGTTTAGGGTTTCGGGGTTCGGGGTTCGGGGTTTGGGGTTTGGCGTTTGGGGTTTGGGGTTTGCGTGTATACTGTAAGCCTGCAACTCTTGGGGGAAACCCCTAAGAGTTCTTAATTTCACCCGGTCGACACCACACTGAACCAGGTACTCCTCAGACAAAGAAGCAAGGTTTTTGCTCACCCCAATTCCTGAACCCCAACCCTATCATAAACCCTCCTTTGTGGTACTTTACTGTAACTTTATTAAGGCAGCTTAACAGTTCAATTTATAGCTACCCTCCTGAGCGCAGCCAAGCCTCAACCCATAATTTTGAGCGCGATGGCCTGAGACCTCGGTCAGAACCCTAAGGGTCCATGTACCTACATAGTATATACTTGGGCCCTAAAGCTACTATATAGGAACCCCTTTAAGTATAGGTACATGGACCCTTGGGGGAATAGAGTCAGTGTTCAGGGTTCAGGGCTTAGGGCAAAAGAGCCCTCTCACCCGATCAGCGCACAGTTGTCTATTCCCGCGAAGCGTTCACGCCTACCCTCAATGCCCTAAACCCTAAACCGTAAATACCCTAAACCTGCAAGGGACTCTAGGGGTTATTCGTTTTTTTTTTTTCGGGGGCACTTGGGTATATCAGGACTATATGAGGCATACCCTAAACCCTAAACCCTAAACCCTAAACCATACAAGGCATAGGGGTTATTTCGTGGAATAAGATGAAGCGTCCCCTAAAAACCCTTGAGTTTGAGTTTTTTGAGCAGGGCTTGCACACCCTGCTGGTCGCAGCCATACGGCGGAACGAGGATGCAGCAGGGGGGAGGGGTTGGGGGATGGGGTTTGGGGTTTGGGGTTTGGGGTTTAGGGTTTAGGGTTTAGGGTTTAGGCTTAGGGTTGGACAGGATTCAGGTGAGGGTTGTTTCGGGTTCGGGGTCAGGGCCGTTGGAGGAGCAGTGCGTTTTCAGCGTTTGAGTTTTTGTTGGGCTTACACCCTTGTCGCAGGCCACTCTAAACCTCAAGCCCAAGCCCCCAAACCCTCCTTGGCTTAATCGTAAGCATGAATTCCGAACCCTACGGCAAACAGTCCCTAGAAGTCCTTAATGATTCTAGACCCCCCTGATTTGGGTTCATAAGGTCCACACCCATACTGAGCATATCCATCAGCAGTTGATGAAGAAGTGAAGCATCTCTCTTGGAAGCAAGATTCGAGTAACAGTACAGAACGTACACATACCAAAATCCCTAAACCTTACAAACCCGAAGCCCCAAACTGCACTCCAAACCCTAAACCCGAAAACCTTACAACCCCTGAGCCCCAAACCCTAAACCCTAAACCTTTCAAACCCTGAACCCTAAACCCCAAACGCTAAACCCTCAACCCTCAACCCCAAACCCTGAACCCTAGACCCCAAACCCTGAACCCCAGACCCTAAATCCTCAACCCTAAACCCCCAACCCCAAACCTTGAACCCCAAACCCTAAACCCCAAACCCTAAACCCTCAACCCCAAACCCTCAAACCCCAAACCCCAAACCCTAAACCCCAAACCCTAAACCCCAAACCCTCAACCCTAAACCCCCAAACCCTCAACCCTAAACCCTAAACCCTAAACCCCAAACCCTAAACCCCAAACCCTAAACCCTAAACCCTAAACCCTAAACCCTACTTCTGACCCCCCCCCCCCCCCCCCCTGCACCTTCCTGAGAGTGCCAGGGCTCCGGGCCACTTCTCCAGCGCATCCTGCGGGCCTGGGTGCGCCAACGCGTACTTGGGGTTTAGGGTTTAGGGTTTAGGGTTTAGGGTTTAGGGTTTAGGGTTTAGGGCTGAGGGTTTCGGGTTTAGGGTTTGGGGCTTAGGGGTTAGCGGTTGATTTTGGTTTATAGGGCTTCGGGGTTTAGGGTATAGGGTTTAGGGTTTGGGGTTTCCTGTTTGGAGTTTGGGGTTTAGGGCATATAGGCTTTAGGGTTGAGGGTTGCTAGGGTTTGCAGGGTTTGTCGGGTTTACAGGCTTTGTCGGGTGTATGGGAGGTTTATAGGGTTTAGGATTTCGAGCAGATAAGGGTAGTTAAGGGTTTTTGTGCTGGGGGTAAATTTGGGGTTTTTGGCTTAGTTAGGCTTTGGCGGTCAAGGATGAAGGTAGGTAACCTTTTCATCTTAGTTCCCCCAGAATACTGAGCAACTAGATGGAGCAAGTGGGGCCCTTAAGGGGCTACATGAAGTAATTCGGGTATATACTGCTGTCAGGGTTTAGGGTTTAGGGTTATTTAGGGTTTAGGGTTTAGGGTTTAGGGTTTATATAGGGTTTAGGGTTTAGGGTTTAGGGTGTAGGGCTCTTGGCGAGCGCCCGCCTCGTTCCTTCGATGGTTTCTTCGCGCGCACTTCTTCCCTACCTTAACCCAGATCTTCCAAAACCCCTTCAATAAGGGTTTTAGTCGGATTATACCCTAATTTATCCTGAGGAGCCTTATTCTGAATTAGGGTCTATTCCATATTTCAGGCCCTCAAAAAGCATTGTACCCTAATTTATACTGAGCAAGCTCAACAAAGCCCAAAAACCTTACGTAACAAGGCCTTTGGGCCTTAAACAAGAGCCCTTCAGGCCTTAGGGTAAGGGTATCGAAGACCGTTCTGTACTAAACAGCTTCGAATCAAGCATTGAACCTCGCAGATAGACCGTAAACCCTCACCCTAAACCCAAAAGTTTCAGGTCTGCCGCCTGGTGAACCAGCAAGACAGCCTGGCTCTGCGCACTGCCATAGAGCAGCGGAACATGGAGGCATCGAGTGCCGGGTTTAGGGTTTAGGGTTTAGAGCTTACGATTTAGGGTTTAGGGTTGGAGGGCGGCTCTGGTGGGATCAGTTCACTTAGCGGCAGGGTAGGTAGCGTTTTCACCTTGTTAAACCCTAAACCCACACTAAACCCTAAGCCCTCTGTGTAGAATCCTACTAAATGGAAGGTTAATTCACTTAGAGACTGGGTAGGTCGCCTTTAACCTTTTTGTATACATAGAATCCTGCTTGGGATGTTCCCCTAACAGTCCTTGAGAATGAAATGTTAACCCCTAAGTTCAATTTTTAGACTGAATATTCCCCAACCCCAAGCCCCCTGAGTCCCGTACCCGAAAATAAGTCTGTAGACCCCCAAATAGGAGGATTCCTGTATAACAAGGACCCCCAGATAATAAGGTACCCTTCATTCCGGAAACCCCCAAGAAGCCCCAAATCCTGTTTAGGGTGCATTTGGTGGTTTCGGGTTTAGGGTGCGTTTTGGGGGTTTAGGGTTTAGGGTGCTGTTGGGAGTTTCGGGTTTCAGGGTGCGTTCTGGGGGATTTAGGGTTTTTCCCTATCACCCCCTCTATCCCCCATAATTAAGGCTACTTAGGGAGAATTAAGCCTAATTAAGGCTACTACAGGGGGGAACCTAGGGGGGGTAGTATAGAGGGGGGGTATAGGGTTTAGGGTTTAGGGTTTAGGGTTTAGGGTTTAGGGTTTAGGGTTTAGGGGAACCCATGATTGTCTCGCAAAATCCTGAGTGCGCACCAGCCAAGCTCTCGCAGGCGCTGCAGACACTGGTGTCCCTAGGCCTGGTCCTTCAGAGACGGAACCCTAAACCCTAAACCCTAAACCCTAAACCCTAAACCCTATCTCAAGTTTAGGGCTTTGAAGTTTCCGAGTCTTTCGGCACTTGGGGAAGCTTTCAAGCCTTGCAGCTTGCATCACTTTGATTGGGGTTTGGGGTTTAGGGTGTAGCGTTTAGGGTCTAGGATTTAGGGTTTAGGGCTTAGGGTAGTTCACATTGTGGTTTGAGGGGTTGCCATGGTACATGCACATGTCACATTCCGAGCTCGGGGGGCACCATGTGGGCGCCTGGGGCCATAGAACTTAGGCCATGAAACTCCCAAATTTCTGACTGGGTTTAGGGTTTAGGGTTCAGGGAGCCTCGACATTCCGCAGGGCCGAAGTACTCCTCGCAAATCAAGCCGCCCTGACCTATACCCCTTTTCATCCAGGCTCGAAAAACTTCAACCCCCAACCTTGGACTTCTGGGTCATAGGCGGGGGGGGGGGGGGGAGGGGGGCCGGGGGTTAGTTAGGGTTTAGGGTGTAAGGGGACCATCTTCCCAAAATTGCGCTTGTGACAAGCCCCTAAACCCTAAATCCTAAACCCTAAACCCTAAGCCCTAAACCCTAAACCCTAAACCCTCCCTGACATTCGGTGGCTCCTTAAGACTCTGGAGAGGAGGCACATCCGCGATCGTGGCTGCCACGGCGGACGAGGTCGGAGGGTCGGCTGAGTGAGCGGTAATGTAGGGTTTAGGGTTTAGGGTTTAGGGTTTAGGGTTTAGGGTTTAGGGTTTAGGGTTTAGGGTTTAGGGTTTAGGGTTTAGGGTTTAGGGTTTAGGATTAGAATGGGGTTTGGGGGGGTTATGATAGTATAAATATAAAGGAACCATAAGGGAATACTCAGTAAATTTTCCGACCCCTGTATTCGGAGGTTTCAGGTGCGTACTTCATATTGCAAAACTTACACCTTCGAATCAGCCTTGCGCACGGTACTCCTCGAGACCAAAATTTGCGGCGAACCTTAAACCCTACAACTATTCATTGACATAAAACCCAAGGGAAAATCAACAATATTGTCTTATTAAGGTCCTAAGGGGGAGTGTAGAACCCAGATCCGCAATCTTCTGAAGCGCGAGCACGCTGGGAACCCTGCCACCAGAAACTCCAGGGAGGCCTTCGGCCATTCGGCCCTAAACACTCAACCCTAAATCCTAACCCCTAAACCCCTAAACCCCTAAACCCCTAAACCCCTAAACCCCTAAACCCCTAAACCCCTAAACCCCTAAACCCTAAACCCTAAACCCTAAACCCTAAACCCTAAACCCTAAACCCTAGCCCTAAACCCTAAAGCCTAAACCAAGTAGGCTTCACGGGTTTCAACGGTTTTGGGTTGGAGCCTCACAGTCCAGCGAGGACAGCGCTGGGAGCAGGCCTCGGCCCTTGCGGCTTTAGGGTTTTTGGGTTTTAGGGTTTTAGGGTTTATAGGGTTTAGGGTTTGAGGGCTCTAGGGTTTTAGGGTTTGGGGTTTAGGGTTCAGGGTTTAGGGTTTCAGGGGGTTTTGCGGGTTTTGCGGGTTTAAGGGGTTTAGGATCTGATGTTGCTCAGAATGGTGTTGAGGAGTTTAGGGTTGAGAGTAGCTCGGACTGTTCATACTTCATTCCTGTAGGGACGAGAAGTTGATTGTTTTAGTTATTACGCAGGCTCCTACAAGGAGGCCCCCCCCCCCTAGTTACAAGTAGAGTTATAAATGCCCTAAATGGGTTATAAGGATCCTAACTTAGGTTAGAAGTCCCTTAACTATAGTTAGTATAGTATGGGGGGGGCCCCTCCTTGTAAAGTATACTTTTCCAGCCGGCTACAGAACTATGGGGCAAGTTTTGGTCAGCATAAGCCCTAACCGTCGTGGGCTGCGGCGGGTCCGAACATGCTTCCGACGATACCAAAGAGCCCAATACCCCTTAATTAATATTGCTCAATTTATCTAGGGATCCTTGATATGATTTAAGGAATATTCCTTAATTGAGGTATATTGGGCTCTTTGGGTATGCAAAACAACATACCAAGAGCGGCTTGAATTGACTGACTTTTGAAAAGGGGCAAGAACAATCCCTTTTGAAAAGGGGCAAGAACAATCCCCATGACCTTGTTTTGCTCAGTGACTCTGTGTAAGTAGGGGGAGCTTCAAGAACTGCAGACCTTGAGAAAACCCTGAACAATGAAACTTAAACCCTGCATGATTTCACACTCTCCAATGCTGCGTGGCATGTGGGACGCATGAGGGTAGGCTTCTCATCAACGGGGGCAACCCTAAAGCATAGAATCTCGAATGCTCGAAATCCTAAACTGGGGGTTTCCCCACGTACTGGTACGTCCTCCTGGGGGAAGCACCCACATGCTGTGAATCCTGAACACCTGCAAAGCCCCCCCCCCCCCCCACAAAGCCCTACGCAATCCCAAAGGCCCGGACGAAAGCAAGGGCAATCCTTAAACAGCCTTGAAGGCCAAAAACCCAGAACCCTAAAGCTCTAAACCCTAAACCCTAAACCCGATAAACCCGCAAGCGAACCCTGGAGCTTCTTCAGAGAGGCCCAATACTCCTTAATTATGAGGAAGATGCCTTAAATTATAAGGGGATCCTTAGGATCCTGTATATGATTTACGGAATATTCCTTAATTAACGGGTAGTGGGCTCTGTGGGTCCTCTAGCGCGCACGGGCCCCAGGGGCAATGAGTGCATCCTCTGCGCCTGCGCCGCGGCGGGCGACGTGGAGACCCTGCCGGCAGCTCAATGAGACCCGAGGTTCATGGGTGTTTAGGGTTTAGAGTTTAGGGTTCAGGGTTTAGGGTTTAGGCAAAAGGGTTTAAGGGTACTTATAACCCCGATTCTGAGTCTACTCATGGCCTACTTAGAGGACTTGCGGGGCCTCTAAGTACAGTGATACTTGGGGTTTTCACTACCCTGAACAGGGGCTGGGGCGAGAGGGGTGGGGGGGGGGGGGTGGGGTGCAAGTATCAGTAGCAATCTGCACTAAGTTTTTCGTATCAATATTCGTATTCTTATTCCATAGTATTTTGTAGTGATATTATCTTGAGAGGGGCTGTCTTGGGCTTTTCGGCTTTTCCGAGTATGTTGATGCAATTCAGTATAGGGCTGGTGGCCCGTCGTGCCAGATGTGGAGGGGCATGAGGTTGGCATAAATACCAGATGGATCCAGTTATGTGAACGTTCAGATTGATCCCCTAAACCAACCTTACCCTTTTCAGGCGCCTGCTTGAATGCTTATAGTGCCCTCGACATTCCTGGGAATCTAAGGCAAGTTGCGTGGTCCGTAAGGGCCAATATTCCTGGACCATGCAGCTATCCTAAGAGCTAGCCTTACCCTCTTGCTTTGAAGGCACCTCATCTTGGATCACCTTCGCAGTGGCGGAAGGACCGCTCTCTTGGCATCAAATAGTGTTGAAGGGCGTTTTGGGTGTGGAGCCTGTCAACAGTCGAAAGCTGGGTAGACGATGTTGCAAGAGGCCTTCTCCAGCTTCCTCACGTCGAGTTGTTGTTTATGTTTTTTGTCTCATACTTGTCGATACACCAGCAGCACCCCTCTTTCCCCCCCCCACTCCCCGAAAACAAGCGAAGCCCCGGACCTTGTAAAGCCGTGGAAGTGGGAATCAAGCTAAACCCCCAAACCCTAAAACGAGAGGGTTTAGGTCGGTGTCCAAAGTCTGAGTTGCATCACATTCTCCCAACCACCCTCAAGGTAGTTAGGGCCGGGTCGGGCATCTGTGCGTGCGCCCCCTGCAAGCTGTCCCAAATGCGTGGCAGAAGAAGCAAACCGTTGTAGACCCTGAACCCTGAATCCTAAACCCTAAGCCCTCCTCGGAACCCTAAAAACATAAACAGGCTTGCAACACGAAGCCGTGACCTGGACAGTTTTCAGTTTTTTTCTTAATGCCAGGTTTAGGGTTTAGGGTTTAGGGCTTAGGGCTTAGGGCTTAGGGTTTAGGGTGCTTATAATGTTGCACCTGCTTGTGCCTTCCCCCCCCCCCCCCCCCAAAGAAAACAAACAGTCGAAGCTATGTTGTCCCTGTTCACACGGTCCCGGGGGGTGATATGACTTTAATGGGGCGGAGTTTAAAAGGGGGCAGCGGTGGATTTTCTTACGACTCTCGGTCGTTTTGACTTAATTCAGGATCCCACCGCACACCCCGAAACAGTCAGGGTGTCCTGAATAGCGCAGCCAAAATGACTTAAAAGAGGCGGCCCCCCACTAAAGCAATAAACCCTAAACCCTAAGCCCTAAACCTTGAACCCTAAACATTTCGCTGTTCAGCGTGCAAAGTTTGGGATTTGGCTCTGCTGACAGGACCATCGAGGCCATGAAGAAGGCGGGCTGTCGCGCGTGCGTTCGGAGACGGCCTTAGGGTTTAGGGTTTAGGGTTTAGGGTTTAGGGTTTAGGGTTTAGGGTTTAGGGTTTAGGGTTTAGGGTTTAGGGTTTAGGGTTTAGGGTTTAGGGGACGCGGTGAGGCATGAAGTCCCAGGCTTGGTAGCCCAGCGATACCCTTTCCCTTTTTTCTTTGGGTTCAAGGTTCCCTTATATAGGGTTTAGGGTTTAGGGTTTAGGGTTCAGGATGGGCTTAAGAGGACCATAACCCCAACACCTTTACCCTTATTGTAATATGGTGACTGGGCTACCAAGCAGGATAGCTTCGTTTGGCAGATTTTTTGCGTTGTCCCCATTCTTTGTGTGTAGGTCCGATGGAGGCATGTACCGAGACTGTCGATGTAGAGAGCGGCGAGGAACGTTTTCCCCAGTATGTGCCCTGCAGTGTGTCCGAGCGGTCAGCGAGGCAGGTGGCCCAAAAAAAACACCCTAACGCTAAACCCTAAACCCCACACCCTGCACCTTAAACCCTAAACCCTGAACCCTGAACCCTAAACCCTAAACCTCGCCCCCACCCTCCCCCCTCCCCTCCATGCTTCGAGCAAGGCGCGGGCGCTTGCGGCGCAGTTCGGCTTGGAGCCCGGTGCTCCTTACATTTAGTAATTTAGTATCTGATTATAAGGTTTTTGTGAGTGTTCTACATGTAGCAAAGGTATACAGCTATAAGGTTGTCAGATTATGAAGGTTATAGATTGATGATTTTGACTATGAGGTGTTACATGCGGTACTGGGGTCAATTTGTTGTATGTGTGTGCTTGTTGTTGAGTGGTTCATTAGGGATTCGGGTCGAGGGTTGCAGGGCTGAGGGGGCTCAGGTTTGACGGCAACACCCTAAGGATCGCCGTACCTTTGTATATACGTGGGCCTTAAAGGGATTCCCGTACAGTAGCTTTAGGGCCGAAGTTTTCTAGGTACATGGATCCTTAGGGACAGTAGGACGTGGGTCTTTGGCGCGTGTTTATGCGACTTGGTTGTGTGAGGTTTGATAGGTTTCAAGAATTGGGTGCAGGTTTTCTTCCAAGGGCCTGCTTACAATGTGTACATAAAGGCACATAGTATTGACCTCCCCATGGATTGACTCAACCCCTTGTAAAGTTTAAAGTTTTGGCTGGAGTGGCAAGCCAACGCTACCTCCCCGACACAAAACTTAAGCGGCTTGTAATGAAATTACCCTAAACTACCTTAATCTACAGAAGCCACATGCCCCTTGGACCTTACTTGTGGAATATACACCTTAGACTTTTCGGGACCCTTATTACAAGTACGAACTAAGCCTTATGTTCCTTAGAGGTATACAGCATACCCCTCATACGACGAAGCGAGTAGTCCTAAACCCAGCCGTGCAATGTCCACGGACACGGGCGCCGCCGCGCACGATGTTTGCCAAGTCGTCAGGACTGCTACAGCGGAATATAGGGCGGAATAATTACGAATAGTATTCCCTTATAGTCCCTTTGTTTATAAATAGACTCCAATAAACCCCAAAACCCTTTCTAATTGTCAAGGCCCCTAGAGTACAGCTTTTTGGGTTTGGGGTCTATAGGGCATAGTGGTCGAGGGGCTGTAAGGGCGTGCAAGGTTAAGGCCAAAGAGGGGTAGGCAGGGGCCCCCCTTTACTTGCCTTTTAGGCTGCTTCAGTTCTTAAGGGCTGATGTGGGGTTCTTCAGGGCTGTTTTGGGAAATATGCACCGCCCCACTTGTGATGACTAACCTGTGGTGTAGAGCCCGTCACCTGCGAGGTTGCTCTGAGCGTGCTTTTGCAGAAGGCCTTTTCGGAGCAAACTCCTTGCAGACCCCTAAACCCTAAACCCCAAACCCTAAAGCCTAAACCCTGAACCCTAAACCCTAAACCCTAAAAGCCCCCTAAAAGCGCCAAAGCAATCCTTGGGGAGGATCTGCTGGTCCCTTCTCCTGGGGAACGAGGCAAACTCCTTGTAGACCCCTAAACCCTAAACCCTAAACCCTAAACCCTAAACCCTAAACCCTAAACCCTAGCTCCGGCAAGGATCTACTGGTCCCTCCTCCTGGGGAACGTCCTGGAGTGGTACGAGTTTGCCGTGTTCGGCTTCCTGGAGTGCCTTGGTGTTTCGGGCTTAGAATGTCTAGGGTTCGCGGGGTTTAGGGTTTAGGGTTTAGGGTTTAGGGTTTAGGGTTTAGGGTTTAGGGTTTAGGGTTTAGGGTTTAGGGTAGTTTAGGCCAGTTTAGGGTTTAGGGTTAGGGTCTGGGGTTTGCTGGGTTTAGGGCTTCTGAAGTACCAAGCAAGCTCTTGACCCCATGTGATCCCTACAGCTGAGGATAGATACCCCTCATCCCCATCAGGGTATATCCCTAAACCCTAATGTTGGACCCTGTTTAATGTGTTGGCCCCCCCCCCCCCCCTGAACAGTCGAGGCTGGATTTGTCCCTGTTTAGACGCCCCCGGGGGTTTATATGATTTTAATAGGGAGCAGTTTAGATAAGTTAAAAGGGGCAGCGATGCCCTGCAATCTTTTTGTTGAAGGCGTGCCGCGTGGAATTTTCTTACGGCGCCCGGACGGTTTGACTTTAAACAGGGACCCCCAAACAGTCAGGGTGTCCTGAATACTTCAGCAAAATTGACATTAAAGAGGAGGCCCCCACTAAACCGGGTCCAACATTAAACCCTAAACCCTAAACATTTCCCAGGCCCTACTTCCAGAGCAACTTCTTCGATGGTTCTGCCATTACCACTTGGCCGGGCAATTCGGGGGCATACAGACCAGCGTCCCTTTCGATTTTAACTTGGGTTTGAACTGTTTGTTGAAGACATCTGTACATGTATATGCTTATATGCATGCATGCATGCATGCATGCATGCATGCATGCATGCATGCATTTGTGTTTGTGTCCAAATGTGCAATTGCGCACACATGTATGTTGAAATGTATAAGTTTGAACTTGTATGTGGGAGGGGGTGGGCTGCAGAAGCAAACTCTACACAGCCGAACTATCAACACAAACCCTGAACCATAAGGCCCCTAAACTCTTAACATTCCCCCCTAAACCCTAGACCCTAAGCCCTAAACCCTGAACCCTAAACCCTAAACCCCTGGACAGGCTAGGCTTCGCCTCTACCTTCCTCGCGCGCCCTTTTGGGGGCGTGGCCGTGGGCCTGGTCGGAGACCTTTTCGGACGCAAGGCGCAAATGGGTAGACATGGGGGGGTTTAGGGGTTAGGGTTTAGGGTTTAGGGTCTAGGGATTCGAATGGGCAACCGAATACCCCTGATGTCAGACAATGGTGCCTCACGTGGTTAAGGAACATGCCCTAAACTAAATTCGGATCCATATTCCAAGCCAGAGTAGTTTCGTGAATGCTTTCCCGGCTGACCTTCATAATCCCCACAAGGTTACAGCGGGATTGGTGTGCCAGGGACTTTGAAATACACCTGTCCGCTGAATTTTTTGGGAGGGGTCACAAAAACCCTTTAAGGCCTATGCAGGTTCGCCCCTTTTTTCTGGGATACATCGCCAGGAAGAATGCTGAATCCTAAGCCCTAAACTCTAAACCCCAATACCCTTATCATAAGCCAACGTCGCTCGTTACTGAATTGGTACTGGGATCTTTGTGGAGCTTGGGGAGACCTAAAAGCCCTAAATCCTACACCCTGCTTCAGCCACCGTGAGAGTCGAAACCCCAAAACCCTAAAACCCTAAACCCTAAACCCTAAACCCTAAACCCTAAACGGGATGCTTTGAGGTCTCCACCTTCCTGTCCATCTTCGGAATGCTGCTGCTGGACTGCATAATGGAAGTCTGCGGGTGTCTGGGGGGGAGTGGAGGTAGTGTTCCCTAAACCCTCAACCCTCAACAAACCGTAAACCCTAGACCCTAAACCCTAAACCCTGAACCCTGAACCCTAAACCCTAAACCCTAAACCCTAGCCCTAAACCCTAAACCCTGCAAGCCTCACTCTCCCTAAGCTCAGGATTGGCACGGTTGGTCAGGGCCTCGTACCGACCTACCAGTCGGGCCCTGTGTCCGGCCAAGTGACTTGGCCTGAGAAATTCTGGGGGGGTTTAGGGTTTGGGTTTAGGGTTTGGGGTTTTGGGTTTGGGGTTTACGGTTTGGGGTTTAGGGTTTGGGGTTTAGGGATTGGGGTTTTGGGTTTGGGGTTTACGGTTTGCTGTTTAGGGTTTAGGGTTTAGGGTCAGATGTTTAAGGTGATCACCTGTGAGGGCTTGTTGTTTTTTTGACTTCTTTCGCCAAGAGTTCTCCTGTTCCGCGAAGCTGCAGTTGGCGAAGAAGTCTTCCAATCATCGCAGGGCCCTTCAGCAGCAAGGTTATGTTCCATTGCCTCTGCATACATCTTACCTTTTGGCCTTCTTCGGCTTCAACCTAACCTTAAATGAACTCTAAACGTCCAAGCGCCAACCCTAGACCCTAAACCGTAGACCTCAAGCCCTAGCGTGGCGGGCGACATAGACGGGGTAGGGTTCCCCAAGCCCTAAACCCCAAAACTTGAAAGTCTTGGGAAGGAGGCTGGGACCCCCTAAACCTTAAACCTTAAACCTTAAACCCTAAACCCTAAACCCTAAACCCTAAACCCTAAACCCTAAACCCTAAACCCTAAACCCTAAACCCTAAACCCAGTCTGGGACTTGTGGAGTGGAAGTGCGAACCCCAAACCCCAGCCAAGGGGAGCGGAGGGCAGCTGCCCTAATCCTAAACCCGTTACCCCATGTTCACCGTAAACCCTAAATCACAAAGCTTTGGCTCTTGGCCTAAGACTCCTATAGACCCAACATGGGGTTTAGGGTTTAGGCTATATAGGGTACATAGGGTATATAGGGTATATAGGGTATATAGGGTATATAGGGTTTAGAGTTTAACGTTTAGGGTACACAGGGTATAGAATATAGGGTTTATAGGGTTTGTAGGGATTATAGGGTTTTTGGGGTTTAGGAAGATGTGAGCTTAAAACCCCAGCTGAGGTGGGAGTGGTGCTATTGGTTTCCTTGCGACTGCTCCAGGCGCTAGCCCCCCCCCCCCCATGCCTTCAGAACTGGCTGGTTCAGGGTTTAGGGTTTGGGGTTTGGGGTTTGGGGTTAGGGTTTGGGGTTTGGGGTTTAGGGTTTAGGGGTGCTAAGGATGGTTCTGGGCTGAATGCCCCTCAACCTTGCGAAGAAGGGGCCCTGTCAACAGTAGGCATGGCTCAACACTATACTGTAGCGGATAGTTGTGGTGGGGGGGGCTGGGGCTTTGGTCGGTGTTGTTTTTGGATGACGCCCCTGGGGCTTCCCAGCCGGTTGTGTGCCTTACGTGCGTTCGCATTCTGCGTGTCAGGGCATCTGCACTGGCGGTGAGATTGCGGCTGTGTCCACGTACATCACGGAGGTTGGGCCCAAACGATCACTGGCTCGATCCATGGTACTGATCGGCATCACTTGTCACTTGACTGCCTCAGAAATGTTACAGTTCCAGGAACAGCCGCAAAGCTGAACTAAGTCCCTCTAAGTCCTTCCATCGCCACACATGTAGAAGTTATGATGATTCTCCACAGTGTTCACGTTAGGAGTACATAGTTAGTCATATAACTAGGCAGCCCCTAAAGAACCCTTAGACAACTCCTCTGGTCCCTTATAAGGTTCCCTCCTTTCGTCTCTAGGGTTTAGGGTTTAGGGTTTAGGGTTTAGGGTTTAGGGTTTAGGGTTTAGGGTTTAGAGTCTACAAGGAAGCCGCAGCTCTAAAGCACTTTACATCGGGCCCCCGTTTCGCAGTGCCCAAACTCCAGGTAACGTGGGCTTCCTCCTGGCCCAGTTCGCCAGCTACCTGACCCTGGAGGCTTCGCATCTAGGACCCAGGATTTGCTGCCAAAAGCAACCCAAAAAATCACAACCCTAAACCCTTAACCCTCAACCCTAAACCCTAAACCCTAAACCTAAACCCTAAACCCAAAACCAAGACCCTAAGCTCCTTATAAACGGAACTTGGCGGTTCGAGCTTGAAGAAGCTGCCCGTGGGGGGTTAGGAAGTTAAGCATGATCGGTTCAAGGTTTAGGGTTTCAGCTTGAGGATTTTAGGGTTTAGGGTTTAGGTGGAGATCCCAGATTTGGCCCGATATCTTGGTCTAAGGCTTCCGGGTACATTTCGAGCTTGAGGTTTTAGGGCCTCCGGAGTCTTGCCCTTTTGGGGCCTGAATACCCTAGCCATCAAGAAGGTTCACCTTTTTACACATAGTAGGATTCTATATAGCCAAAAAGGTTAAAGGTTACCTGCCCAGTCCCTACGTACTCTTGCTCCAGGGCCCCACGCCTGCATTGCCCCACTCTGGGAATATCTGGGAGTCGTAGTTTACACAATATTAGCAGCTAATCTCGGCATATCGTTGGGGTAGTGACCTTGAAGAAACTGGTTTAGGGTTAGGGTTAGGGCTTAGGGTTTAGGGTTTGGGGTTCGGTTTCCGAGTTAGGATTCACGGTCGCCCTTTCCTCCGCCCCTGTCCGGCAAGGCCTTGGGCGAAGAGGCAGGACTTCATTAGCTAACCCCTAAACCTAAACCCTAAACCTTGAAACCCGGCCGGTAAGATTCTGGGAGGTCCTTCTACTGGATTCCCGTGGTAAAGGGATTTTGGGTTTAGGGTGTGGGGTTTGGGGTTGAGACTCCCACCTTCAGGACCGAATGAGCCCTAAAACTCTGGGACCATCTACTGTACCCTCTACTACGATAATCCCTATTCGCGTAGTATGAACCCGAAACCCTGTTAGGGTTCGATGTGGTGCTTAAGGTAGTCATGGGGGCTTCAGTGGATCAGATCAGCACAGCCTTTGGGTGACTGCGTGATGTGAGGTTTAGGCTTGCCTCGCCTGGTAGCACTCGCATCGTAAATGCTAAACCCTTAACCCCTTAAACCCTAAAGCTTGCGTAGCAAGACCCTCGTGGCTGGCACGCAGAGAGAGAGAGTGCGCGGGGAGGGGGAGACCCTTCCTCAGGCCCCGTAGAAGAAGAAGAAGAAGAAGAAGAAGAAGACGAAGAGAGAGAGAGAACAACAAAAAAGAGGAGAGAGAAACCCTAAACCCTAACCCTAAACCCTAACTAAGCCCCAAACCCCGACCCCTCTGGAAGGCCATGGCGAGTTGGGGCTGGCGCATCCCCTTCCTCTGCGCCCTGGCCCCGGGGCTCGTGGCCACGGCAGGCTTCGGATGCGCATATAATATAGGGTTTTTTAGGTTCAGGGATTAGGGTTTAGGGTTTAGGGCCCCTTAAAAGGTGAAAACCTCCTTTAACACCCGAAGACCCAATTCAAAAGCCTGAGAACCCCAGCAAGCCTTCACCTAAACCCCTAAGGATTCATTCAAGGGTTTTCTTGAAACCGCCATACTTTCTAAGTTTTCTGGGTCTAAGGGTAAACCCTGAACCCTGAACTTCCCTAAGCCCTAAACCCTAAACCCTAAACCCCAAACCCCAAACCCTAAACCCTATACCCTAAACCCCAAACCCTAAACCCTAAACCCCACACCTTCGGAGGTCGCCGCTGCATCCCGGAGTCGCGCGAGTTCGAGGAGGCGCGCGAGCGCTCGCTGGCGGCGCCGGGCGAGGCGGCTTGGGGTTTAGGGTTTAGGGTTTGGGGTTTAGGGTTTAGGGCTTGGGGTTTGGGGGTTTTGGATTTAGGGTTTGGGGTTTGGGAGTTGGGAGTCAGGGTTTTTGGCTTAGGGTGTGTGATGGTTTTGGGTTTTGTACCGGTTTTGGGGTTGGGGGTTGAATGTTTGTGGGCTTTATAAGGGTTTAGTGGTTCAGGCGTTACGGTATCGAGTTGGCAGCTTTGGGCTTTGAGGGAGTACGTCATCCTCTAAGTGGGGGGTTTAGGGTTTAGGGTTTAGGGTTTAGGGCTCAGGGTTTAGGGTTTAGGGTTTAGGGTTTAGGGTTTGGGGCCTCAGCATCAAACCACCAAGCTCGTGGCCGTTTCTGGCAAATGTCACTAGCACTTTTCAGCCTTCAGATTTTAGTTGGCACAGAGTCCAAAATCTTCTAAGGTTCTTTAGGGAGGGGGGAACCCTAAACCCTAAACCCTAAACCTATTTAGGGAACCTTCGGGAAGCTAAGGGAGCCCTAGGGAGTATTGGGGAGCATTAGGGAACCTTGGGTTACATACCCCCCCTTGAACCCCCCCTCCCTTAAGAACCTTGTAAGAATCTCTCATTTGCAAGCGCGTTTTGTTTTGAAGGAGCACCCTCAACCCTGATGTCGGAGGCTGGGCCCACAGCGAAGATCCGGGCACTGCTTCGCGGGCATCGTGCAGCGCTGCCGCTCTTCTGAGGGTTTGGGGTCTAGGGTCTAGGGTCTAGGGTCTAGGGTCTAGGGTCTAGGGTCTAGGGTCTAGGGGGTTTAGGGTTTAGGGTTTAGGGTTTAGGGTTTGGGGTTTGGGGTTTAGGGTTTAGGGTTTAGGGTTTAGGGGTTCGGGTTAGGGTTTAAAGGTCTGCTGTTGCTTCCGTGTTTAATTACGGTGTTGGCCGTGGCGGCGTGTTGCATGCAGTTGCCTATACGTGTGCTTCGATAAACCTGGCCTACGGGCTGCAGTATTGTGCTGCTCTTCCCCGGCATTTTGTGCCAAGGCTCGTAGGCATCTTCTCTGTGGCTGCAATTGCGGTGGTGCAGCAGCTTCGACGCAACATGATGCCATTCAAGGCTAATGCCTCACGATGCCCATTGACTCATACATCTCAGGACATTCAGCAGTTTCAATATACACGCCTCCTGACCTGAGGCAATCCAGAGAGTGGCTTCAAACACATTCATACAGTTAGCTCAGGAGCCAAAGTAATTACCGATATCGTCCCTGCTTGAAGTCCCCTTCGAATCATCAGGTAGACTTCCCTAAGATGCGCTATTTGAAGAAAGAAAAAGGGGGGGGGGGCCTAGACTCAGCTTCTTTGAATGAGCTCCCACCACAAGGGTTGCAGAGGAAGTGACCAAGAAACCAAACCCTAAACCCTAAACACCCAGAATATCCCCAAGATGCGCGAAAGTCCTTCCCAACCAACCAGAATCCCAAGGTACGGTGCCCTGGCGTGGTGCTATGTGCTCCTCAAGGCGGGCGCATCACGTAGATCAAGACCCAGGGTGGGCCCTTATTCCCCTTTTTTAGGGTCATAGGGATTGTTGTTTAGGTTTAGGGCTAGGACCGGAGTAAGCCCCCATTCCCTTTTTGGGATTTAAGTTCCCCTGGAGGCTCCTTTCAAACAGGGAACCCTTTGTGTATTCCTGGGTTGCTGTAAAACGTGTAGGGGGCTGCGTTTGCAGCTCGTTGGGCTTTAGTCAGGGGGTTCAAGAATGGGGCGAGGAAGGGGGTCATCCAAATCGTGGGCCTCTTGAATACAAGGTCCCGTAATTCCTAAACCCGAAATCCTAAACCCTCGGGGTGCCCGCCTCAGGTACGCAGAGCGTGTAAGCTCCGTAACTGCAGGAACAGCCGACTCAAGCAGAGTTCCCCGGCTTCGGGTTTCAAAGGCTAATAGGGTTTAGGGTTTTAGGGTTTAGGGTTTAGAGCTCAGGGCTCAGGGTCCTAAACCCTAAACCCTAAACCCTAAACCCTAAACCCTAAACCGTTTAGGGTTTAGGGTTTAGGGTTTAGGGTTTAGGGTTTAGGGGAACAACCCCCAGCTTCCTGAATCTCCAAATGTCCAGGGCCGCGGGGCCTCGAGCACCAGCCTGATCACAGCTGGGGCTCCTTGGCCCATCGTTTTCGGGGGATTTGAGGATCCTGGGGTTTAGGGTTTAGGGTTTAGGGTTTAGGGTTTAGGGTTTAGGGTTTAGGGTTTAGGGTTTAGGGTTTAGGGTTTAGGGTGTAGGGTTAGGGTTTAGGGCTAGTTACATGGTCCAGTAACATGGGCCCTTAAGAGGGTACCCCTTAAGAAAGAATCCTTCTATACCCTATACAACCCAAGGGTCCAGATATCAGAACCCTTTGAAGGAGGTAAGGGGCCATTTTGAGGGACCATGTAACTGCCCTGAGATCTTAGCGGCGCCCCTTCTTCGCCCTTGTGGGTTTCGGCTTAGGGTTTCTGGAGCTCATAAGGTTAGCAGAGTAGGCGTAATCTTCAACTTTTTTGTGGGGGAAGCATAAGCATAATCCCGATGGAAAATCCCAAAGGTTAGCCTTTCGTTGCTCGTTTAGGGTTTAGGGTTTAGGGTTTAGGGTTTAGGGTTTAGGGTTTAGGGTTTAGGGTTTAGGGGATACTGGGCAGCTAAAGATCAGAGAGTTCAAGCACTTTAGGGTCTTCTTGGCAGCCCAACGGCACCGTGATTTTTGCTCCCTTCATTGGGGCTTCAAGGTCTCGAATGGCAGAACCCCTAACCCAAAGGATCCATGTACCCATATAGTATATACTTGGGCCCTAAAGCTACTATATAGGAACCCCTTCAAAGCCCAAGTATATACTATGTAGGTACATGGATCCTTAGGGTAAACCTATATAAACCATCAAAAAAAGGTACCCTCACAAGTATTCGATATGGTTGCTGGGCTACCACGATTTTGTCTTGGGCTTAAGGCTTTTAACGGGCTTGTGGTGGGTTGTCAGGGCAAATTGGGGTTTAAAGTGGCTACATAGGCCGTTTAGGGTCTTCAGAAAGCATCTACGTCTCATGGCTTTGAGGTTTCTTAGTGGGTGTTTGAGGCTCTTCGGTTTTGGGTTTAGGGTTCAGAGTGTTTAGGATTTGTAGGGTTATGCTTAATACGACTTGTAGGGCTTAAGGGCCTAAAGGAATAGCAAGTTTTGGAGTGTTTAAAGGCCTTCATCGATTTTTTATGGGTTCGGGTCTGCTGCTGCGCGTCTTGGGGCCAAGGGTTCTGAGGCAAGATACGGCATGGCATGCCTTTGGAACAACACAAGCCCTAAGCAACGAACACCTGTTTAGCTTCGCGATCCTTAAAACCGCTAAAGCCCCGAGACACAAACCCCAAACCCCAAACCCTAAACCCTAAACCCCAAACCCCAAACCCCAAACCCTAAACCCTAAACCCTAAACCCTAAACCCTAAGCCCAGGTAGTGGCCAGATGTTTGGCGATGATCCTGGCTCCACTGATCGGGTGGCTGGCGGATGCGAAGGCCCTAGGATGCAAAGCCACCGATGTGTAGGAGCCGAACCGTGTAGGGTTTAGGGTTTGGGGTTTAGGGTTTAGGGTTTAGGGTTTAGGGTTTAGGGTTTAGGGTTTAGGGTTTAGGGTTTAGGGTTTAGGGTTTAGGGTTTAGGGTTTAACTTGTTGGTTCTTGTCGCGGGGGAGTTAGGGAATTCGGATGTAGAGGCATGTGAGGTACCGAAGTCCCTAACGGCCTGCTGAGAACGAGCAAGTCAGTGAGTTGGTTGAGGTGTGCGTAGCCTCATGGACAGCAAATGACTGCAATTCTGTTCTCCACATCAAGAATGAAGGCTGTATTGCTGCACAAAGTGTAGCCACATAGATGTGCGACCTCAGCAAATATAAAGCATCCTCAAGCCCTAAACCCTAAACCTTAAACCCTAAACTAGGACCCGGAGCAGGCCCTTTTTTCCTTTTTTTGGGTTGGGTTCCCGTATAATCCCCTTAAAACCAAAAAGGGTACCCTTGCTATTCCTAGGTTACTCCTGGGTCGAGTAAACCCTAAACCCTAAACCGCAAGAAACTCAGCCAGAAAGCATCTGCTGAGGGCGTCGCGTGGGTTCAGCTCATGGGCGCGGTCGTCATGGCTGCTGCTGGTACCTCTGCACAGCAAGGGAATCCGGCCCGAAACCCTCTAAGACAGCCTCTGCGTGCTGTTGAATGGCCTAAACCTTAAACCCTATAAACCCTAAACCCCTAACCCTAAACCCGAAATCCTAAACCCTAAACCCTAAACGTGTGTGCTTCAGACTCACTGAGTGGCCCTCGTAAATCTCGTCGGCCCCAAAGGCAAATCGAAAGCAATTCTTTGAGGAATCCCTCCCAAGCTCATGCGAGAAGGAGTAGTAGTCGATAGAAGTCAGCCTTTTGGTTTTGTTGGGTTTAGGGCCTAAGTTTAGCGTATAGGGATAGGCACCAGGCAGTTTCAAAGCTCAATGCTTAGTTCACCCAGGACTCTTGGGCAAGCAGTCAAATTACATACTCCAAACTCCCTCTACTCCCCTAAACCCTGACTACAACCAAGGCCTTCCTCTCTTCGTGGCCATGCGCCTCCGCGCAGACGATGACGCAGCGGTCGTTGGCTTCTATGGACTGGGCTATGGCGCTGTTTGGCTCACTTGGAGTTTAGGGTTTAGGGTTTAGGGTTTAGGGTTTAGGCTCATGGTTTGAGTTTCCCATATTGTTTTGGGGTGTGGACGGGTGAATTGGGGGTTTAGGGGTTTCGGGTTGAGGGCATAGGGCTAAGACGTAGTATTAGCTCGTTGGTTGTTGCTGGTTAGGGACGAGTTTAGCTGTACACATGTACCAAGAGCAACACTATCTTCAGACGACGACGTAATGTTAGCTGCTTAGTTCCAGAGTCACACTGCCAAGATTTTCCTGGCGACGACGGGCATGGTCTACTTCTTGTACGTGGTGGAGCTGTTCCCGGTGGAGATTCGGAATCTAGGTAAGCCTTTGGGACATTCTATGTTCTCCCTTGTTGGCTTATTGGGTTTCAGAGGGTCATATTCAGGAATATGTTTCAGAGGATTTTGGGGCCCATCCTAGGAATGTAGGGGTTGGGATGAGCTACAACATTGGCTTCTGCATCTTCGGTGGCTTCTCTCCCATGATCTTCGAGGCATCCCATGCTGTGGCTTCTTGGGCACCCGGATGCATGCTGTCGCTCGCCGGATGCATCACGGCAGCTACCGTCCTCCTGAGCCTCCGGCTTGAAAAGCACGGCCTTCTCCGCCTGGCCCACATCCGCCAGGACCCATACTTCCAGTGCCAAAGCAGCAGGAAGTGTGAAGAGCAGCCTGCAGAAGCTGCCAGGCCCGTGGTAGAGGACCCTGTTGAAGTGAAGGCGGCGGGGCAGTTTCAAGCAATCGTTTAGGCAGCGCAGCGAAGCGCCTGCAGAATTCGGTGCCTGGTTTCAATTGGTTTTGAATTGAGGCAAATTTAAAAACTGCCAATCGCACACAGTCGTTGCTGTCGCGCTCTGCCCAATCCCAATGGCATGAAATGCCCTAAGGCTCCAAGTATACAAATAGTACCTACATTGGGGTTTAAAGTCTGTAAATAATACCTACTTTGGGCTTTTTGGAGCCTTAGGGATGGGACATGGGCCTGTATAGAGTCCGGCCTTTGGTTCACGCAAATGGCATCTTCCAAAGCCCACCTTCTCCAAACCTGGACCCTGCGGCTCAAACCAGCCCCTAAACCCTAAACCCTAAACCCTAAACCCTAAACCCTAAACCCTAAACCCTAAACCCTAAACCCTAAATTAAACTAGCCTCTGAACCCTCATACAGCATGGCCTTCGGCCCGAAAGCCCCGAAAGAAGAGCCCTTAGAGCCGTAGGGTCCCGAGACCCCAAACCCTGAACCCTAAACCCTCACCCTAAACCCTCCAGTGGGCCAAGCTCTGAAGAGGCCGGGGGAGGGTTCTATGGACGGTTGTGCGCTCGGCCGCGCGCGGCACCGTAGCCAGACGACCTCCCCTGTGAGCCCAATGCCCAAGTAAGGAACATACCATAGGGTTTAGGGTTTAGGGTTCAGGGTTCAGGGTTTAGGGTTTAGGGTTTAGTCACAGGCTGAGCCTGGAGTCAAAAGAAGGGTTTAGTCACAACACGCATGAGCCCGCCACTTCCCAAAGCGAGGGCATTGGGTTTCCTGGTTCTCGCCCGAACCACCGAGCAGCAAGATGCAAAAAATGAAGCTGGACAAAAGGGTACTCCTGGGTCTAGTTTCTAGGACCCAGACATGGGTATTTCCCAAAATAGGGAGGTACCCCTTTTATACCCCAAAAAGAATAGAATGCCTTAAAGGGATCCCCCCAAAAGGCAGAACCCCTGTTTTCGGAAATCCCCATATTTGTTTATACAATGCTTTTTGGGATGTTAGGCCCAAAACCCCTTTGGGGTTTGGAGTGTTGTGTGATATGGAGGACTCAGACCTGGCAGGGCACTAGCCACAGAGAGTCCCAGTGGGACCCCGGTTTCACTTGACAGAGGTTTTTTGTTTAGGGTTTAGTGTTTTTGGTATAGGGTTTAGGGTTTAGTTAGGGCTCCAAACCAGCCAAAGAAGCGCCCTGTTTTCGGTGCTTTACGGGTTTCATGGGTTTCGGGTTGAGCCGTTTCAACCTTGATCCCTGTAACCGGTAAGCCCCTACACGCCCCATCCTCTCCCTAAGCCACATAAGTTCTGTCAGCCAGGCGAACCCTAAACCCCCTAAACCCCCTAAACCCCTCAAACCCTACAAATCCTACAAACCCTACAAACCCTACAAACCCTACAAACCCTACAAACCCTACAAACCCTACAAACCCTAGACCCTACACCCAAACCCTAACCCTGCAAGCCCTAAACCCTAAACCCGAAACGCTGCAAGCCCTAAACCCTAAACCCTAAACCCTAAACCCCAAACCCTAAACCCCAAACCCCAAACCCTAAACCCTAAACCCTAAACCCTAAACCCTGCAAGCCCCAAAGCGCCCCTATTGGGGGTTGCTACCAAGGCCACGCTGGCACCTCGAACCTCTTGGCTCGACACCTGGACGCGGCCTCAGCTCTCCAGGATGCCAGGAAGGAAGACATTTGTTGGGGGTTTTTTTAGGGTTTAGGGTTAGGGTTTAGGGATGTAGGGTTTAGGGTTTAGGGCTTAGGGTTTGGGGTTTGGGGTTTGGGGTTTAGGGTTCAGGGTTTAGGGTTTAGGGTTTAGACAGGAGGGTCTCTTTGAGTAGCTGTAGTTTAAGTCTTTAGCGCTTAAGTGTTTACAGTTCGACTGTGTAGGGTTAGGGACTTCAGTCGGTGTATGCTGTTTGCTGGCTATGTACACGTCTACAGGGATTAACAACTGCTGCCAGCGAGTAAAGAGAAGGCGAGATGATGATCTGTGTATGTTGGTTCAATTGAATTGGGTTAAGGGATGATGGTTTAGGCAGGGTTTAGAGTCTTTTGATGCAGAAGTGTCTTCGTCTTGTGCATGCATCAGGTGAGTCCCCATACAGCGCACCATGAACCCCAAACCCTGATAACCCTAAACCCTCAACCCTCAACCCTAAGCTTAAATTGTCAGCTTGGAGACGAGGTGGTTGAGCTGTCGATGGTGGGCAACAACCGGTATCGTGGAGGCGCGGGGCATCGCGGGGCTGGTGGCTCTTCTCGCGCTGTAGGCCCTGTAGGCTTTGGGCTCGCAGGCTTTTGTTGCAGACTCCCTAAACCCTGAACCCTAAACCCTAAACCCTAAACCAGGTGGCCTCGGTTTCCTGTATTCGGGGAGTGGCTTACGCTTTCTCATGCGCGCTACAAGGGTGAGAGGAGCTGCGAAAGCTCAATGCTCATGGGGGCTTTCCGAAAAGGCGGGAGGGGGTTCGGGTTTAAGGTTTAGGGCTTAGGGCTTAGGGCTTCGGGCTTAGGGCTTAGGGCTTCGGGTTTAGGGTTTAGGATTCTTTTTTTTTTTTTGGGGGGGGGTCCTCTTTTTTGTAGCACTTGGGCACTTGGGGGTTCATTAGGGGTGCCACTATTTGGGGACATAACCATATTCCGGAAGCTGCTGCTCTACTTGCAAGGTCAGTTTAGCTCTTCTTGGGGTGTGGCGGAAAATCAAAACGTGCTGTGGCGGTGCGACAAGAGGATGTGGATTCACGAGCTGCAAATCCTGACAGCTGCCATGACCAGCTTTGGCGTCAGAAACTGGGGTTCCGCCAAATAGCAAACAAAGCAGCTCTCTTTGGCGTTGTTACCCGGGACAGTCGCTGCGAGCGACTTTGAGAAGCAGTCAGTTTTGGCAAGGCAGAAAGGAGCGTCGGAGGTATCTTGAGAACAAATTTGCTCTGCCTGCCCAGAGCCAATTCTGTTTCGAGCCCGCAGGGCGCCTAAACATGTCCTATCACGCCACAGAATATGGGGGTATACCATAATTAGGGAACCCTAATGTAGACCCCCAAATAGTAGGATCCCCTCATAATGAGGACCCCAAACATATACCCCAAATCTCGTAAACCCCCATATCCCCAGCATAGGGTACCTACCGTGCATGGGGTCGCCATTTCACGGCTTCTCGGGTGCCCGAAACAAGGGACTGGAATGATTGTGACGGCCCAATAGGGTTTACGCTTTCGGGTTTAGGGTTTAGGGTTTAGGGTTTCAGAGCCCTGGAAAACCCTTCCGCTGAGTCTTGCTTGTCCTGTGTTGTTTGGTGTAGGCTTTCCAGGAGGGGCCCTGTGCTATACTAACAGCTCATGGACTCTTAGCCTAAGTTATAATTGCTTCTAACCCTCCAACCCTAGATCCCAAACCAACTCTACTCAGAACTAGGGGAACCCGAACCCTAAACCCCTAAACCAACTATGAACCTGAAACCCGAAGCCCAATGAAGGTGATTTCGAGGGGGCCATCGATGACTACCACGAGGAGCGCCAGCTGGAAGGGGGCTGTGTAAGCTTTCGGGTGCATCCATTAGTGTAGGGCTTAGGGTTTAGGGTTTAGGGTTTAGGGTTTAGGGTTTAGGGTTTAGGGTTTAGGGTTTAGGGTTTAGGGTTTCGGGTTTCGGGTTTCGGGTTTAGGGTTTAGGGTTTAGGGTTTAGGGGTATAAACCGATCAAAGGCACGCTTGCCCTGAGTTTGTTTGAGGGAATCTGGGTTGCAATAGCCCGATGTAGGTTGACCACAGCTTTACATACAGTTCTGGCGTTCAGCGGACGCCGGCGCTTGCTTGCACGGGACCCTAAACCCTAAACCCTAAACCCTAAACCCTAAACCCTAAACCCTAAACCCTAAACCCCAACTAAACCCCAAGATGCTGCTCAAGGAGCTCCTCCAAAGAAGGATCCTAGACAGCCCGAAACTGACAGTCAGGACCCCTACAAAAACAGGGGCCTGAAGAAGTAGAGTAAGGTTTTGGGTGTTATTGTAGTATAACTATAAAGGGACCCTCAGGGAATACTAGTAGTACATAGTCCGACCCCGAAATATACCTGGCGGCATGTTCTTCGAATGTGGGGCGTTGGGCTGCCTCAGGGGGAATCATGGGGGTAGAAATATGACTCTCTAGGACCTGGAGTAGGCCCTTATTCCATTTTTTTAGGGCTTAGGTTCCCTACTCTTTTTGTTCCATTCGCTCTTGGGTCTAGCTCTCTTTTCCTTCAGTTGTCATGGGTTCCTATCTTCGAGCAACACAATTGCATGTAGGGGTTTGAGCTCCGCCGGGAGGGTTCGATGCTCTTGCGCGGGTTTAGGGTTTCGGGTTTGGGGTTTAGGGTTTGGGGCTCGGGTTTAGGGTTTAGGGTTTAGGGTTATAGGGTTTAGGGTTTAGGGTTTAGGGTTTAGGGTTTAGGGTTTAAGCTCTGGCGGAGGCGATCCAGTTGTGCGAGCTCCATTGCTCTCCAGGCCGCGTGCCCGGGCATCCCAAAGTTGCGTTTTGGGTTTTAGGGTTCAGGGCTTTAGCAAGTCAGGGCTAGAGCTTGAGGTCTTAGGGCCCCGCTGTAAACCCTACACCCTTGGCTGTATTTCAAGCATGATTTTTTTTCAACGATGGCGATTCTTTGAACAATTAGGGGAATTTATCACTGCCTACTTAACCCTATTTCCTGGACCTTAAATCCTAAACCCTAAATCCAGATTCAAGCACCAAGATTCCCAAGAAAACCCGAGGCGAACTGTTTCAAGCGAACCGGTCTGCTGTAAAGTCGAAACGGACCCTAAACCCTAAACTAAACCCTAAACCCCAAACCCTAAACCCTAAACCCTGGAACCAAGAACCAACATTCCCAGCAAAAGTTTGATAAGGGGAACCTTAGGTACGGGACTTTGCACCGGTTTGTTACCTAAAGAGGGTTTAGGGTGTAGGGTTTAGAATATAGGGTTTAGGGTTTAGGGTTTAGCATTTAGGGTTT